ATAAAGTTGCATTCTTTACATTTAAAATATTAATATAACTATCTAATTGAGAATGTAATAAATATAATTTAGAATATTCATATTCAATTGAAGATAAATAATATCTTAATGAACAATCTCCATTATAGTTACACAATACTTTACAATGTATTACATGCTTATTAGGTAATATTATAATAAACAATGTCAATAGTATACTCATTATAATAATAATATTAATTGGATTAGTTATAGTCTTCTTGTTGAACAGCATCATTGAGTGTGAATCTATTAAATGTTCTAGTGTGATGTTTTTTTTTGAAATGCATGATTAATGTATAGTTGATTCCCAAGTGCTCATCATTATCATTACTACTGCCCTCGCCACACAGTACTGTGATTCAGGGAGCAGAGTGATGGTGGTTAAATAAATGTTGAGTGATGGTTTTCAAAGCCTTGGAGCACATGCGTTCAAACAAGTACAAACGAATGATTTTGGCGGGTTGTTGATAGAGTACAGTAACTATACTTAATTGGCAAAATTAAGCTTAATTGGGTTGTTAAAAACATCTGAAAAGAGAAATTACATCTTCATTAGAACAGTCACAGCCCTTGATAACCTCAACTGTAACAGAATAGATAGACCCTTCACATGACCACATTAGTGCACCCTTAATAATATTCAAAGTAATAGGGCGATCATGTTTGCACCATGATGACTAAATACAAGTGAACATTCAAGAATATAATAATATTTGAAAAAGAAATTCAACTGCCATGTAAGGAAGACAAGTTTCATCTGTATATCTTTGAATTGATGAATGTAATTACACATGTTCGTTCATGTGGTTGAATGATGTATATTTCAATTCTATCAACAATTCCTCCAATAATTTGACAAAAATTAAAAAAAAATGTCATCACTTCCATCTTTACATCAACAACAATTTGATAATGATGGCGATGATGATGATACATCAATGGATCAAAATAATGATGATGGTGATGATAATAATAATTCAACAACAACAATAACAACAACCACTACTACTAATAACAATAACAATGCAACACAAGAATCATCTACATTTTATTCCGATTATTTTTATTTACCATCTTGTAAACCCTATTATTATCAACATGAATATAATAATACTTTAAATAATAATATAAATACTACTTTAAATAATAATACTTTAAATAATGAAGATGATAAAAAATTAAATATAACAGTTCATAAATATTTAAATCAACGTTACTATATGAAAAATAATCAATATTATGAACAATTTTATAAAAATAAATATTTAAATGAATTAATAAAATTAACAATGGAATATTCAAACAAGTATAAAATTAAATCATGTCATCATCATGATATAAATGCAATGTCAATTAATTCTAATTATTTATTAA